TGGGGGGGGGGGGGGAGGAGGTAATGGTCTCTGGGAGAGGGTTTTCGAGTCCTTTGGCATGATGCCTTCCTTGTTCCTCGAAATCGGTTTGTGGAATGTTCGGAGTGATGCAATGTCGGTGGTGGATGAATGTGGGTGATTTTCTGATCTGTTCATGTGGGTCTGAAGTCAAAATTGCTGCATGCCTGTGTTGTTTTCTCTTAGTGTCACCAAACGAGATTCGAATTTGAGACCACTGAGCTCCATGCCATTCGGTTTCTTCCTTGCTCTGGTTTGGGGTTCACATTTATAGGTGGTATATGGCCTTGCCACTTTGATATGCAGTAAATCGTCCTTTGATATGCAATGGTTTGTTAAACCTGGATCTCAGAAATTTTAGAGAAACAATGTCTTGAAATCTAGGATTGAGTGACACCATCCACTCTTCCTGTTCTGTGGTTTCATCGTTTTCTCCAATTGATACTGTGCTCTGTCTTGATCGAGATGACCTTGATTACTTGATTTTGCTCTTGATTCCGACTGATTATCTCTTTCAAATCCAGGGTTTAGAAGAACCTTCTAAGAAGTGAGAGAGAATGGGCCGTGGAGTTAGTGCGGGTGGAGGGCAGAGTTCTTTGGGGTATCTTTTTGGCAGCGGAGAGGCGCCTCCAAAGCCGGCTACCGAAAGTGCTCCCGCCGAACCTCGGCCCGTAAGTGCCACACCTCCACCTAAAGCCGCTTCTCCTCAACCCGTGGATGTGACCAAGCAGATTCCCGCCGGTATCAATAGCACCTCCGCAAACAACTACATGAGGGCCGATGGACAAAACACCGGCAACTTCCTCACGGTATGTTTGCTTGCACTTTGATCAATCGACTCCTGTCGAATAACCATTTACCCAGGTAGGTCTACCTTCAGAGTCATGTGAGCTGGTTACCGAAAGCTAATACACTATCAGGTGTGGCCATTTTAGGTTTCGGTTTTTGAAAAACTATAGTCATTTGGTTTTTATATTGAATTCGGTTCGGTTCAGTTGGTTTTATTTCAATTGTTTATTGATAAAAATACTCATTTTTTCAAAGAAATTTTCATGTTTTTTCAGTTATTTTTTTATTCAGTTCTGTTTGGATTCAGTTTTAGAGAAATCATAATCGCGCGGGTTTTATATATGGTTCTGGTTCGAATACAGTTGTGTTATATATTATTCCATTCGGTTATTAGATTAACAACCAAATTGGCATCCCCTGTACACTATCACGTCTTTTAAGATTCTTGATGTGCTGCAATATTTAGGTCAAAAAGAAAGGGAACTTGGGGTGTGGTTGATTACACATACTAGATTATGTTAGTGAAGTTCAATTTGATAGAACCGTGTGTTTTGCTGCAAATATATATGCACACCAATGTCAAAAGTATTGTTCATATGAATTTTGAACATTGCCTATGTTCATTGTCTGAATAATATTATGGTATATAGACCAATGTCAGAAGTGTTGTTCATATGAATTTTGGAACATTGCCCATGTTCATTGTCTGAATTATGGTATATATGTATATAATGTACGCAGGACCGGCCGTCGACCAAGGTTCATGCCGCTCCTGGAGGCGGCTCGTCACTCGGATATCTCTTTGGTGGGGGTAGCAACAACTGAGTGAGATAGCCATTGGCATCCCCGAGTCTTTCTCTGTTATATTCTTCTTGTTTGTTTCCTCTTTTGCCATTCTCTCTCTCTCTCTCCCTGTCTCTTGGTCTCTCTAAGAACTGGAAAAAGGATGACGAAAGGGAAAAAAAACAGCAGAACTTGTCATGTCTGATTAAAAACTGTAAGAGCTGATGTTGTATGGATGTGTTCAAAAGTTTCCAACCTTTGGACTTCAACTCGGTATTTGTTACCCAAAATTGGTGGCTCAACTGATTAAATTTTTTTATCAACCAAGATTTGATTCTCCATTTAGGAGGATCATTCACATTTTTCCATAATTGTAGAAGATATAATAAGTTTCAAAGTTCGGTGAATTTTCGGATTAAAAAAAATCGGTATTTGTTATATCCGGTTTTATAAAAATTGTACCAAAACCAGAATCGTTGATTCGGTTTAGTTTGGTTTTAGTATTGGTTTAGTTCAAATCAGTTTTATCAACGAAGATGGTGTCTTTTTCCCCACACTCATTTCATTTAGTGAAGATTTTTTGTTTTGGAAAGAATCTAACAGTTAAGATGCCAGCTGGCAAATTCTGGTTGGTCAAATTTACATTCCCTTTTTTGTGTTTCTTTTTCCGGTAAAAAATAAAATAAAATTGCCAATCCATTTCCAAGCAACACTACTTCCCCTCTCTCTTCCGAGTTCCGATCAGAGAGAGATGGATCATAACTCGCCCCGACGTCGGTGGAGCCGGAAACCGGAGCCAAAGCCGGATATTTACTCCACCGTCATAGTTCACCCCGATTCCGATTCCGATTCCGATCAAGGACGATGTGAAGACAAGGAAGAAGATGCTGACCTTTACGCTACAATGGTCTACAAGGGAGATGACGAAGGAGCTGGGGATGACGGCGAAGAACACGATCACACTTCGCTTCCTCCCTTGTTGATGAATCTCCCCAAGGATTTCGGCGGTGGAGCCTCGTTCGACTATGACGACGGCGACGGCGACGGCGACTGCGACTTCGGCACGATGATTTTCAAAACTGATCGGAGTAACCGTGGCCGGAATGCTCGGAACTCTTCAAGTCCGCGGATGGCGGGTAGTCCCAGATGGTGGCCGAGGCGGGGGGAAGACGTCGATGACGCTTACTCCGATAAGGATGACGATGCGGAGGAGTACGGTACGTTCGTTGTGAGATCGAAGGCGAAGAAAGGGGAGGAGAGGGAGAGGGAGATGTCAACCATGGAAAGGGCGGTGGCTAGTATGCAGAAGTCAGGGGAGTTAGGCTTTGGTGGGAAGAACAGAAAGTTCGAGTCTTCTCAAGAGAATCGGCGGATGCAGCAGCAGAACAGTAAAATCTCCACAACCTCCATTCCAGAGAGCATTACCAAGGAAGATCCAACAACCAAGTACGAATTGCTCCATGAACTCGGTGTGATACTTCCCCGTATCTCTTCTCTGGATTAGTTATACCCGTTTTGCAATTTGATGGCTTATCCTTCTGTATCGAATTTGCTGCATTTCCATTTGATCGACAGGCCATCAACTGGGATTTACATTTTTTTTTCTCATTGTTGGCTCAGCAGTATTTCATGATGAAGTTTGGCATCTGGGTTTGCAGGAAAAGGGTCATATGGAGCTGTTTACAAGGCAAGAGACTTGAAAACATCGGAGCTTGTTGCTGTTAAAGTCATATCATTGACTGAAGGGGTACTACTAGCTTGTCTTCTAGTCTCAACTAAGAAATTTGGAATTTTAGGGTGGCTAAAGCACCTGATGTGAGTAAAGCTTGTTCTTTTAACCAGGAGGAGGGATATGAAGAGATCCGTGGAGAAATTGAGATGTTGCAGCAATGCAATCATCCAAATGTTGTTCGCTATCTTGGGAGCTACCAAGGAGAGGATTATCTTTGGGTGAGTGTCATAGTATTAACTTATTTAATTAGCTAGATACATTCGGTGTCAGTGTTTGCAATCTTGTTTGATGATTTTTTCGATATATAAACCTTTCTCATTGCTAATGTTTATATTCTGGCAGATAGTGATGGAGTATTGTGGGGGTGGAAGTGTTGCAGATTTGATGAATGTAACCGAGGAGCCATTGGATGAGAATCAAATCGCATATATTTGTCGGGAGGCATTGAAGGTATTTTTAGGACAATTTTCTTAATCTATATCGTTTCTGGGAAGCATGCGGAGGAAAAATGATTTCTGCTTTTCTGTATTTGAAGCTGGTATCTCTTCTTTGAGACCTCATGCCTATTTGTGTCCTATATCCCCATGAAACTTTGTGTGTTGCCTGTCAGCTTGTCTATGTATTCATCTAATATCCTTTTGGTTGTGATGTTTTACATCTAGGGCCTTGCGTACTTGCACTCAATTTTCAAGGTCCACAGAGACATCAAGGGTGGAAATATCTTGTTGACTGAACAAGGAGAGGTCAAACTGGGTATGTAAGCTTAGAGCGTCATTTAGCAAAACCGGAAGCATAATAGCACTTGCTTGTTCATTTTCTTTTTCATATATGTTGATTTTTATGTTTTGAGGCTTGCAATCTTGCTCTTCTCCTAGGTCATCAATAGGAAATCTCTCTCTTTACAACAATCACTTGATTCTGTAGTTCTGTTTCCTGGATATTATCAGGAGACTTTGGAGTTGCAGCTCAACTTACAAGGACTATGTCAAAGCGTAATACCGTAAGTATCTACTGCTATAGTTAGATTACAACTTTGGCTATCAGTAATTTTACCCAGAGAGAAACTTGGGAGGATGATGTTGATGGATCAAATGCTATATGTTTAGCTTTTCTAATATGCATTATGTTTGCAGTTCATCGGCACTCCGCATTGGATGGCTCCAGAGGTTATTCAGGAAAGTCGGTATGATGGGAAGGTATGACGCCCTGTTTAGCTCTGAGTAATAATTGGGTATGATCAGCTAATGAATTCTGATTACTCAAAACTTTGGGTATTTACATACTGATGTAACATTGTCTTCCATTTAGGGGTGACTTGTTGAAGTTAAAATCTTTCATCATGCTTATCTGTAGAAGAAAGGGAATAATTTGGTCCTGAAAGTAATAATGCTAACGAACATTCGCTGCAGATCCTGACTATTTTGGTTTGTTCTCTATTAGACATAAAAGTCGGTTTTAAAAGGGAGTTGCGGTAGTATTACATCGAATGGAATCACATATTCATGCTGATAATATTATGTGTTTTTGTACTGCAGGTTGATGTATGGGCTCTTGGCGTTTCAGCTATTGAAATGGCAGAGGTATGGAGGCTCAATACCCAGCTTAGCACATATCAATTGATAATTATGTAAAGCCAGTTAGTGAATTTTTTCATGTCTTACCAACCGATTAACAAACTTACTTTTTCGGACATTTTGTTACTGGAGGAAAAATAAAGATATTGTACTTTCTTGTTAATTTGAGTTTGTCTTTTGTCTTTTGTCTTCTTTCACATTCTACTCATATTCATCCTTCTACAGTCTCGTGATGCATAGTTTTGTTCTTTGCAGGGGCTTCCTCCAAGATCGACAGTGCACCCAATGAGGGTTGGTATATCCTGAGGTTTTGCCATATTGCATTTTTTGTTCTGTTCCAATGTTATCTGATGAATAGTCTCTCCTTTACATTTGTTCATTTTATAGTTAGTTTCCAGGATGGGACGTATGAATATGAACTTAGATCTGGTTTATGGTTTAGAATCGACAGTGGTGGGCTCTGCAATTCTGCATAAACAACAAGTGGGTCATTTAATTGGTAGCTGGTGATGTATTTGGAGACTAGCATATACTGATCATTAAATTCTCTGTTGGATCTTCTTCCAAAATGTAGGATCGTGGGTGTTTCATTGTGAAAAAATAAGGGAAATTCTCATTTTTCTGCTTGATGCCATATAAACTGTACCATTGATAAACCTTTTCTTATGATCGCGGTATGGTCATTATTTTTAGTATCTCTCATCCAAGGTATTGGTCTTTACTAGGTTTTATTCATGATATCCATCGAGCCAGCTCCAATGCTTGAAGATAAAGAAAACTGGTTTGTCTTCAGCTCTTCAACTGTATCATGACTATGGATAAGTCTGTGTCATCTTTTCTGTGACCTCATACCAACAATTGCTTTTACAGTGGCCATATCGGTCAATAATTTAACATTCGAGCTCATCCTCTCTTTGATCTAAGATTTTCACTTGTGTCTGTAAACACATAGACGCGTATAAGCAATCCGAAGTCTAATGATGCAACTGATGATGAGAAGTTCTGTGCAATATCATGTGGCTCACCTCTCCCTGATGTTGTTACCTTTTGCAGGTCTTTGGTATTTCATGATTTTGTTGCAAAATGCCTCACAAAAGAACCACGTCTTCGCCCAACTGCAGCCGAAATTCTTAAGGTAGATTATGATAGTCTTCTGCCTGTGAGGGAGGAAGCCACATACATGATCAGTATGCCATATATAATGTCAGAATATAGAATCTCTTCATTTCTTTTTTTTCTTTCATGTACATCTGTTTTTTTCTGGGGAGCTGTTGCACATTTTCTTCAGTAGAGGCATGATAACGCATTTGCTAGCTCATGATAATCATCTGCTATGATTGTTGCCATTACTCCAGTAGCTTGCATCATCTTCAGTGTTCAAAATCTTTCCATTCTGATTGTATTCTTCTCTTCGATTTTGAAATTTAGCATAAATTTATCGAGAAATGCAAAACTGGATCTTCTGCAATGTCGCCAAAGATTGAGAAGGCCAGACAAGTACGAGCTTCGATGGTTCTGCAAGCCCAAAATGCTGTGCCTTCTTCAGAAGATACTGTATGTCTTGAATCTTTCACCTACAGTGGCTTCTCCTGTCGATTCCCCTACCCTTGCTCTAATATCTGCACAGGTTTATCGTTCTATAGTATTAAGTCTAATTTTGCAACAGTCAACACTGGATCCACAATCGACTGAGGATGTCAGAATTACTGTTCCATCTGATAAACCACCTAGTACTAAATATCAAAATTCCGATGAGGCACCTCCAACCAGCACTGTCAAGCAGCAAGATATATATGGTACCACTGTGTTTAAGGGAGAAGGTGAGTGTTATTGAAATGAAATCTTTCTTATAGAAGAAACCAGTAGAATGGTTGCTGTCATTGATTAAGCATACTTTATTGGTTCACTCATTCTCTTTTGATGCATTTAGAATTTCTATGGGTGATATTATTTTTATGATATTTTGTTGATAGTTTATTTCAGACATTAGCTTGGATTGCCACTCTCCATACTACGCTTTCACCATGTTTTTAAAAGAACAGTTAGGTTATGTTGACAGTTTGTTTATGTGATCAGCTGTTGAATTCGGTACTATGATTGTCCATGGTGAGGATGAGGCAGAGGAGAGTTACACCAAAACACAACTTACCTGTGAGAAAGAACCTTCATCTGCTCAGGTGGCTAGCTCTTCTGTCGGTATTTTGGGAGATGTCTCAGCTGACTCCTGGTATTTTACCAAAAATAAAATCCCCTTTCGATATTCCGACCTGAATGTATTTGTTTCCCGATCATACCGTAACTTGTAAATCTATCGATAGGATCCACTACAACAGAGGCCCTTCTGCCAATGATGTTCGAGTTGAAGAATCAACTTCACAGAGCCTGCGAGCATCATCATCTTCGGTCTCTATCTCAAGGGAGGATAAAACCAAGCTGAACAGCCTATCTGGAACACAAACCGAAGGTGGCAGAGATGCAGGTGTTGGCAGGAAAGCATTTGCTTTGCAAGATAAGGTCAGGTTTCACTTTTAATCGGTTGTCCCAGTTTCTAATCAATGCCATTGCTTGATCCATTTCTTCCATTTTCTTCATCACAATCTCCTTTGCTCTAATACTACTTCGACAGTCCTATGGTATATGCTGACTTGGTGGATGGTATGTTGCAGTTATGGTCCATATATGCAGCTGGCAACACAGTACCGATTCCATTCTTGAGAGCAACAGACATATCTCCAATTGCCCTCTTGTCCGAAGACATGATTGGAGGCATGCAACGGGACAGAAACCGAACAGTAGGCGTCGAAGCTCTTCAGGAGCTTTTCTCTCCTGATCCGCAGTTGAAGAAAGGGCGTCGGGTTCAGAATGAGGTCGAAAACACTAAAAACGAATCTCTCCCTCTCTACTTTTTAAGAGTTTTGGTATAAAATAACCTCGGAGTTGTGAAATGAGTGCAGATGCCTCTTCCTCCGAGCGTGTACCAAAGACTGACCTCGAGCTCAACCCTGATGAATCTTGCTCAAGCTTTAGCATACCACAGAACGTAATGTCCACGTATATACACACGTTTTTTGTTTAATTTTACTCGTCTTTTGGTTGACGGGCTGTTATATATTTGCGGATTGGATTGCAGTTGTTATGAGGAGATGCCATTGCAGGAGTTGCAAGCTTCACAAGAGCAGCAAACCATTCAGAACCTCTGCGACACTCTTCGGACAATCCTTCGCCTCTAGTTTGGTTCTCTTCACTTTCTTTGCTTTTTTGTTCGAATGATCAAATTTTGTATCTTTTTTTTTCTTGGGTTTAGATGCTAAAGACATTAACGATATCAAAATTTTCATTTCAACAACAAATATAGTGTTTATATACATATATATATATATATATGTAAGTGATGGCCTTAGTTATATTGCTATACCTTAACATTTCGTAAGGTAGGAGAAAAAGGAACAATGGTGAAAGTCCAGAACTTGACGCTTGGCCTTCTTCGAGCTTGCCGCCGTTCTTCCTCTCCGGCGATATCTCCCGCCGTTAGAAGCTTGTTTTCTTCCTCTTTACTTTCAATTACCGAGGCCCGTCTTTCCCTCTCTTCTTCTTCTTCATTCTCGTATCATGTCTCTACGTTTTCTTCTTCTTTCCCCACTCGACTGCTAAACACCGTCAGCTCCAATGGCGACAGAGACTCTGCGGAAGAAGACACCTTTCAGTGTAAGAAATGACCCCTCTTCTTGTTGAATCTCTCCGGTTCCTGGGTTGTCAAGTTTCGTTCTTCCGACAGTTCTCTCTTGTGGGTTATTGTTTTCGTTTTCTTTTTCTTTTACTTTTACACGAAAAACAACGTGGGAAAATCTTGTCGTGCGGTTGCTTAGGATGATCACAACTGTTGTTATTACGAGTGCTTACTAAGATTCTAATGGTTGTATGCGTATGCCTTCCAAGTGTTCGTCGAAATGTCTCGTGCAATTCTTGTTCTACCTTTTGCTCTCACTGCCAAAACAATTGTTTCATTGGTATCGTCGCGATCTGTAATAACCCTTTTGTTGGATTAACAAAAGTCAGAAACTTCAGCCGAAGAAAAATCGAAGAAGAAGAGAAAAGTCAGAAACTTTTCTTGATTAGTTATTGAAAGTGGGTTGATTCAGTATCAGCAATTGGCATTTTGATCAGTTTAATGCCGTACCATGAACGTAGTTATGCTGTTTCTCCTGATACACATTTCTGTTCAATTAGCAGATGAAACAACTGATGATGTGGAAGTCATAGATGAATGGGAAGAGGAAGAAGAAGCCGAGCCTCAGGTAACCAAACCATCTTCTTCTCTGATATTAAGGTTCATACAGTGACTATCAGTTTCTCACTCCATCCATTTATAGATAGGAGATGGAGGAGATGGTGGTGGTGTGGTCCTTCGAGGTGTCCCATGGGGTGAAAGAGCTCTCTCTATAGCTGTAGAGGTCTTGAAGCAGTTTAGCTCGGATGTAAAGCTCTTCGCTTTCAGAACTTCTCCTCGTGGATATATTTACGTCAGGCTTGACAAACTATCAAATGAGTATACACAATTCTTACCGTTCTATATAAAATATGAGAATGGGGCAAGCTTCAGATGCTAAACACAGAGGAGGAACATGGTTTTATAACTTGGTTTCTTGTTTTTTACGAAGATATGGGTGTCCTACGATGGAGGAACTCGAGGGATTTAGTCAAGAGTACAAAAAGAGGTTGGACGAAGCTGGGGCTGCGAAGATAGTTCCTGAGGATCTAGCCCTCGAGGTAAAGATTAAATTTGGATGCAGTCACTAGATTTTCTTGAGGAATCAACCAACCATCACCTGGGTCGTTTATTTATTGACGTTCTCGTAATGGTTTTATTGTGAAGGTGTCATCTCCAGGAGCAGAGAGGTTGCTGATTGTACCGGATGATTTGAATCGGTTCAAGGAGATGCCCATGAGAGTAAGCTATATCGAAGAAACAAACTCGAGGAAAGCAGAAAAGAGTGCAGTGTTCCTTCTAGAGTCTGTAGATTCAGAATCGGAGCATTGCGTCTGGAAGTTAGCAGATGTGAGGGAGAACAGAGATCCCGAAAGCAAAGGCAGACCATTAAGCCGGAAACAAAAGGATCTGAGGTTCAATCTGCCTTTCGAGGCTCATAGAAGGATAACTCTCTACCTGGATTAGTGAAATCGGTTTTCAAGTTGCTAATGCAGGAACCAAACAGGATCTCTTTGCATGATATTTAGAATGTGCTCTTTTGGGAACCAAGAACTGTTAGGGTTTTATCTTGTCATTTCTGTATTTCGGATGGCATGTTGAGCATCAAATAAGGATTGATAATCCTGATTTGAATTTCCTTTAATGTAAAACATGGCCTTTTTCAGGCATTATCCATGCTCATATATGAACTCCAAGGTTCTTGCTTCTATTACAGAACAAGCTTGCTACCTGTTTTGGCAAGATAAATGAAAAAGACAATGGCAATACCACTGCTAGGAGATGCTAACAAACAAGGGGAATTTAATAATAATCCTAAATTTGGACACTCAATTTGAAATCAAGATGTATTGTCATCACTCACTGAACCAACAGGCTCTAAGGTCCTGTATACCCTTTCTGCTATTGGTTTCATAGCATATGGGTCATCTTCCTCATCAGCATACTCTAAGGTTCTATACTCCTTTTCGGTAACTGACCTAATTCCATCCGGATCAGTTTCATCTCCATCTTCGTCTTCATCTTCATCGTCTTCCATCTCTCCCTTAGCAGGAAATCCCCGTGTTTGTGCCAGCAGCCATTGATCTACAACCCCGCACTCAATTGCATACCTTAACATCCGTTCCAAGTATCCTTTATCGGTTATGAGATCGGGCTGAACTGTCAGCATTCTCATTAGACCTGAAAATGTATGCCACATGAACAAGTTTAGTTTTAAACTTTTAATCAAATCCCCATCACGATTAAACCCATTTCTCAACGAGAAGAAACAATCGAAAAACACTACCTGCAACGATGCCATCTCCAGATGCTGACATATCACCTGTAAAAGGTGTGATAGGTGCATCTTCCATTCCAAGAACTGCACCGTCGTGATCTTTCGTGTAGTAATGTATCTTAGAAGTGCCATTTGTCACAAACAAAACCTTGAGGTTCTCATGCCAAAGTGGTTCCACAATTTCTGGACCATAGTGGACAAACTTGTTACTGTTGTTGTTCTTTGTATCAAACTCTTCGGCTGGGTTGATTCCACATAAGAATTCAAGTTCTTGTTTTGTGATCTCGATGATATCTGCAAGATCCCACACTTCTTGTATGAATGCCTTGGTTTCTTCGTGGGACTGCCATAACGGCAAGGGCAGGTTCACGTCATAGAAGATAACACTGCCTAGTTTCTTTGATATCTTGATGGCTTGTAATGTAGTAGACCTCATCTTTCTATCAAGCAGAGAATGTGTGCTGAAGTAGAACATTTTAGCCTGCGCCAAGTCAGAAAGAGGTCATTGATCAAAGAAAAAGAGGATGGCTTTAGCATGTTTCTCAACAACTTGCAGGTTTCTTGAGAACGGCTTAGCTGCGAAAACATTATTACGTGAGATAACCGAGATACTACCTCTTTCAGAACATCAATGTTAATCTCCGAATTTGAGAGAGAATCCTCGGCACAAGATTTAACACACGTTGTTTTCAAGCGACCTCTCTTGCTGAGCTTCATCGTAGAACATGCCGTAGGTTTTTTACCATCAATGCGAACTGATCGTGTCTGAACATTACAGACATTCAGATAATACAACATCGCCCGACCATAATCATCATCCCCGAGTTTGCCCATAAATGCAACCTTACCACCCAAACTTGCAAGAGCAATAGCAACACCTCCTGCACATCCCCCGGGTGCCCGGATAAACTTTTCCGGAGCCCAGAATGCATCTCTCATTCGATCATGTAATTCATAATCCAAAAGTCTGTTTGCCCTCCTCCCCGAGGGTACAAAAGCATGTTGTGCAGATCCAAAGCAACAAACCAGTGGAGGCCATCCATATGTATAACTAATATCTTCACTCTCATATTTGTCCAGATCAATGTCTTCTTCACTCTCGGCATCCACATTTTCAATTGTCGGGGGCTCCTCGAGGTCACTAACTTCAGATGCATTATCAATATCTTTGTCCTTTTTAGCAGCCCTCCTTCTCCTAACTTTCTTCTCGGTTTTCGCTTCATCCACATCAGAAGAAGATGCTAAAGCTGCAAATTTTCAGATTTCAAATTAACAGACTTTTAAGCAAAGCCTTCAGGACGAGGGAGTACACAAAACAACGTACCTTTCCTTCTAGTTCTCCGTGGCTGTGTAGTCGAAGCTGAGACAGCATTTTCCTCTTCTGAGGCATCCTCATCCACACAAAGTTCAGAACTTTCCTCTAATTCATCATCAACCACTGTCTTCTTCCTCGTTCGAGCAGCTCCACTCCTAGAACTTCTAGATGGGGTCTTTCTCCCAACAGCTCCATTTCCATCTTCTTCATCAACCAGAGGTGCCGACTCTGAAATCTTTCTCCGGGCAGAAACCGTAAAACTCGGCTTACCATTGCAATTTAAACCTCGAAGCTGAACAAAATCCGGTGTCCGGATATAAGAGACATCGGAACTGCATCTGAAAAGGAAGAGCTCATTCGTGAGAGACTCAACTCATGACTATCAACTTAGAGAATGTTATGAAATCAGAAGCAAGATTCAACATATAAGAAAGTCTCTGCCACCAAACTTAAAGACTGCCATCAAATGTTAAAGCTCGAACGTTTTTCGGCTCAAATAACTCGGTCACGGCCTAAAATGAACAAAATGTAACAACGTAGGAAGAAAGTTCCCTCGACATCATCCTTGCAACTTCTCCATGGAAAAGATAAGAAAGCAACATAAATTTATGAACTTTAGGATGCAATACGACGGCCACAAGCAGCAGTTGGAAATTAACTAAGATTTAGAAAGGAGGAGAGAAAAAGATGCACGGAGACCTGGTCAGGGAGAGAAACTGCGTGAAAGAGAGAGACGCCATGAACTATTGCGAGACTTCTTCCCAAAACAAGCTATACCAAAACTTAAGCCTTCAAACCCATGAAGCCGACGAGAGATTAAACGCAGAAAACAAAATCAGGCGACCACTTTTCCAGGAAATTCGGAATCTTTATCGGGTTGTCGGAGAATGGGGTTTAAGCTCAGAAAGCAAGAGCCTTGGCGGGGGAGAGGATGAGGGGTTTAGCTGGGCAAACACCGCATATGACCCAGCACAATACACCAAAAAATTAGGCCGTAAAATTACCCCAACCTTACAATGCCAAAAAAACTACCACGTCAAGAATCGAGCAAGTAAACCCCTTGAATTTGAAAACTAATTTCTGAACGACAAATTTATTCAAAAAAATATATCATTATAATTTTAAAATTTATTATTTGGTATTACAAGAAATTTTCAAGTTGACCTATTAATCTATCAGGGAATTATAAATTTATAATGATAATTACAAGGGAATAAATCTGTGTTAAGAGATTACAGGTAGGTATAAGGATTTTAATACTTTATTTAATAAAGGGTATTAAGAGGGTAAACTTGACATTTGATAATTCCTCTTTCTTTTTTTTTTGGTGTATCGATTCATGGAAGATAGGGTTGCAGGTATTTACACGGACAAGACACAAGAGTCCACAACAACGACAACAAAAAACGGGACTTTCTTCTTCCCTTTGATCTCATGTGTTCTTCTCTTGCCGGAATGTGAATCAAATCTTAATCTTGTGACATGGGTTCGTATCTTCTTCGTTTGCTTCTGCTCTTCTGAATCCAGAATCTCTTTTTTTTTTTTGGTGAGTTAATACTATGTGGAAGAAGACGAAAGCTTTCAAGCATGTTTCGCCTTTGAAACAGGGGTTCCCTTTAGGATGGAAGAATTTCAGAGGTAGAACGTTTTTCATCGCTTCACATCTAAACGCATATGCATACAAATATGAACACCGCATATGCAGTGTCAAATCTCAGAAACTTTCAAGCCTCTGATCTTGTAATTACCCAAAGTTTCAGCTTCTTGATTGGGTTGGGATGATTGATCTGTAGATTGTAAGATAGCTTTACTTTCTGTGTTGTTTCCTGTTAGTGCTGTGTAAGTATAGAGTCCAGTATGTATGTATGTATATGTGATATAATGACGATTTTGTTTTCATTGCAGCTTTCTGCAATACAGCCATTAATGCCACTCTGAGTGGAGTTTATTCCACAGAGCAGGAAGTTGTGATTGCTTTGGGAAGTAATGTCGGAAACCGGATCAAGAATTTCAACGATGCTTTGAACCTGATGAAGGGTTCGGGGATTGACATAACCAGACACAGCTGTTTGTACGAAACTGCGCCCGCTTATGTCACTGACCAACCCCGGTTTCTGAACGCTGCAGTTAGAGGCGTGACAAAGCACGCCCCTCACGACCTATTGACCGTACTCAAGACAATCGAGAGGGAAATGGGTCGTGGAAATGGCATAAGGTATGGACCGAGACCACTTGACTTGGACATATTGTTTTACGGGAGGCTTAGAATAAGCTCTGATAAGTTAACGGTACCTCACGAGAGAATTTGGGAGAGGCCGTTTGTATTGGCTCCTCTGGTGGATTTGCTCGGATCAGCTGTTGATAATGATACAGTTTCACATTGGCATTCCCTCTCTATCCATCCTGGTGGGCTTTTTGAGGCATGGGAAAGACTAAGCGGTGAATCTTTGATCGGGAAAGAAGGTATCAGAAGGGTCGTACCGATAGGGGATAAGTTATGGGATTTCTCTGAAAAACCTTATGTGATGGGTATACTCAATCTTACACCCGACAGCTTTAGCGACGGAGGAAAGTTTCAATCTTTAGATTCTGCAGTTTCCCGGGTTCTTTCAATGGCTACTGAAGGGGCTGACATCATCGATATCGGTGCACAGTCGACAAGACCTATGGCTTCAAGGATTTCTGCCCAAGAAGAACTGGATAGACTGATTCCTGTCTTAGAGGCTGTCCGGGTTATGCCCGAGATGGAAGGAAAGCTCATATCTGTTGACACGTTCTCCTCGGAGGTTGCTTCAGAAGCTGTAAAGAAAGGAGCTGACATTGTGAATGATGTATCTGCAGGAGCATTAGACCCGAATATGTACAAGGTTGTGGCTGAATCTAGGGTTCCTTACATTGCCATGCACATGAGGGGAGATCCATGTACAATGCAGGACAAAGAAAACTTGAAGTACGATGATGTCTGCAGGGATGTGGCCTCTGAACTCTATGCGAGAGTTAGAGATGCAGAACTCTCGGGAATTCCGGCTTGGAGGATCATGATAGACCCGGGAATCGGGTTTTCGAAGAAGGTGGATCATAATTTGGATATCCTCATGGGATTGCCAAAGGTCAGGGAAGAGATAGCAAAGAAAAGCCTAGCCATTTCTCATGCTCCTCTAATGATTGGCCCTTCGAGGAAGAGATTTCTAGGGGATATCTGTGATCGGCCCGTTGCCAGAGACAGAGATCCAGCAACAGTTGCATCGGTTACAGCTGGCATATTACGAGGTGCCAATATCATTAGGGTTCATAACATCAGAGATAATGTTGATGCTGCAAGGCTATGCAATGCAATGCTGAGAAGAGGAAGAAGCTCTTGAGGATGATGATCTCACAAAAAGGTTCATTTCTTGGGGGATAATACTTTCTTTTGAAGATTATGTTTCATATTGATGTATTACAGGAGAATGACAACATACATTTTTTCAACCAAGATTCTCACTTTTGGACAAGTACACAGTTCAGTTTTGGAATCTCCTGTGTCTTTGTCCGAGATTTCACAAAACATTTTGGGACAAGAGGGCAAAAGCTCAAAGAACTATGTTTTAATCCTTACTGATGGTGGTAAACCAGAAGCTGACCTTCGTCACTCGCTATGCAGAGCTTTCCCGGAGTAGAATCATCTGTACTTATGCATGAAACTCTATGACCTGTGACAAGATCTCGACAACGAGCTTCTGTCAGTTTCTGTCTTTGCATTGATTGTTTTATGCTTTAAGGAAAGGAGGAAAGGACTAAACAGATTACCTTCAAAATTGTGGAGAGAGCCAAGTTTAGATCCAGTGGACAAGTCCCACAAGTAGATAAGTCCATCATGTGTGCCAAGTATCCCATGTCCAGACATTGCCCCTGCCGCAGAGGCCCTGTAGATAGATTTTTTCAGCACCCATCAATTTAAGCTACTGAAAAAAAAAATTGCTAGTAGCTTGAACCGTTTCATAGCTGAAATTTTAGAATTTATAAAACTTAAGTCCTCAGACAACTAGATTTCTGGGCCGAAAGAAATTTAAGGCAAGTCATCATCAAAAGCCTGAGGAGTACGCTTGAAAAAAATTTGTGGTGATTACCTAGGATCGAGTTGATGGCCATATATGACTGCATCTTTCATCAGCAGAGCCAATCTCCAACATCTTGCTGGAATTTCTCCGTTGTCAGAAGCTGTAGAAACTAAAATCCAGACTGCAGCATCTTTTCCTTCGGTTGGAACCAATGCATTGACGTCTACATGTTTCGGGAACCATAGTTTAGTTGCAGCTAAAATTCCCTCAATGTGATCCTCCATGGTAGAATGACTGGATATAGGGTGCCAAGCAAACAAGCTGATTGGAATGAACTCGAAGATTGAATTGTTCGGAGATGAAAACCTTGACACTAGGATCCTTTTCGAGATATCCCTAGAAAATAACGAACCAGGTTAACATGCTGCGGCGCTGGAAACCGAAGAAAAAAGGGATGACAGTGATTACAAAAAACAGCCACCCCTCATGATAGCAGGAAAAACACGATTACAAAATTGTTTTACACAAGAAAACTTCTCTTCCACAATCTTGAAGGATGTCAAAATGTGAAGGATGGGAAGATAAGCTCTTTAAAGAGAGAGAAGTGTACCATATTGTGAATTCTCCAACACCATTATGTCCGACAACAAGATACGGACATTTTGGGATCTGCTTCAACTCCACAATGCAAGAAGATATGCACGGATTAATGGGTACGATGAACTCTTTGACAGGAACTCTGCGAATGGGGAGAACCATATGTTAATACAACGTTCTATGATGACTCATTCCGCTTCTCCACATCCAATAAGGACGTGACGATAATTTGAAGAGGAAAGAGCAAAACTGAACACTGGTGAGAGCACCTCCATGAGGAGTCCATGACCCACACCATGAGCTTTCCACTCTTTCCTACTGCAACAGTTTTTTTTTTTCTAACGGGACATGATTGAGATCAATGGAGGGTGTTTGGTTTTTTTTATAACACCTGATATCATACTTCCACTTATGTCTTTCTATGTATTATGATGATCATCATCATTTGCATTAACGATCATTTATACATATATACATTTTATATGCTCATACCCCATATATTAATACGATCGTTTGATTTCGTGGGGCATATATATGAAAAATATAAAATAGACTGTTTTTCTTTTTTGAAATCTAATAGCTTTGTGTGTTAATATATGATATGGTGTGGGGGCATATGTCTATTGTGGCCTTGGATTCCTACTTTTGATTTTGCAATTTTTGTTCGTGGGTGCATATATATATATATTTATATATATACACACACACTTTTTTTCTACGGTCGATTTTTTCTAGATTCTGAAATCGTGTGTGGTGTTGTCGGTGAAGATTGATGTAGGAGCCCACCACCATGCACATTCCACATTCATCTTTTGATGAAATGGCTTTCAAATCACTCCTTGATCACCTTATATATAGTCAAAATCCCATACTCTTTCCTACTGCAACAAGATAGCTGGGATCACACACCACCATACACTGCACGTTTTCAACTGCTTGAAGTTTTGTCACGAGAGAAACATGGCCAAGTGTCACTTGGACAATCCTAATTGCATTCTCCTCGAAGCCAGCTGAGGTACAAGTCAAACACAAACAGTCGGTCCTCCCTTCCCTGCAAAAAGGAAAATCCCTTAGCCAAATCCGTTTCTCTTCCCTGCTGTATCGTATGAATATGCTACAATATGGAAGCTGAACCTGCAACAAGGTGTTCTGATGTCACCGCACAAAATAAGATCCTGCCCATTTGGAGTGAAATGCAAACAAGATCTTTCCAGTGCTTCCTGAGAAAGGGTTACAAGCCATCAGGACATTCAAAAGAACAAATGAGATATGATACCCTATCAAATCAGCGGAATATGAATGAAAACAAATGCTCTCACAGCACTTACATTTCTACCAGATCTGTCTTCCTCAAAAGGAAGTATAACAGGAGTATGACCAATCAAAGAGGGGCATCCTTTCATTGGTTCTTTAGCTGCTATCTTGTACACAAAGAGAGTTCTAAACCTATCTGTTGTAAGACAGCTCACCACGCAAACATAGATTTCACCCTCAACAGACTTGAGCAATATTGATGAAATAGGCATCGGAAGAAAGTAACTACCAAGCAGCTCTACAGTTTTTGCCAGTTCGTTATTGATCTTTATATCCTTATGGAGCTTTACATCCACACCAGCTGGAAATTCAATTGTTTGAATGTTCTCCGGCTTTGGAGATGGAAATGAAGATGTTGATATATCATGAACTGATCTCCTGCTCTGGGATTCTGTATTATTTGTTAGGTTGGTGCATTTGTCATCCATTTTTGCTAACACAAAACTTTGGGATTGTTGTTCTTCATGACCGATTCCAGCTTCCAGCAGATCTGATATATGGGGTCCACAATTGTCAGACATCACTTGCTGAAGCTCCAAGAAAGGGACTTTCTTAGGAGACGATTTGGTTACGAAGTTATTTTCAATGTTAATACTACCAGTACCACTTTCAGAGGATAGGTTTCCATTTCTTTGCAGATGACAAGTTGGGAATCTTCTCCTGGTATAAACCTTATGTTTTTCTTGTTTGATAGAGTCAACTTCAGAAGGGGTTGCATTAGCCACAGTACCCTTACCTGCAGCCAGGTGAGATTCATACTTATATTAGTCAGACATTATCATGCAAAACATTCTGGATATGTGGCAAATGATAGAAATCATTTTTTTATCATTTAGATTTAATGTAATACCCTTACCCTCAACAGAATCAAGTTTGTTCTTTGAGTCCTTGTTTTCAGAGTGTTCTTTTTGCAGCAACTTTCCGCCTGCATCAGGGCAGACTTCCTGAGATTCTTGGGTTGACCTCCTTTTAGTTGAAATTGTACGGTGTGGCACTGATACGGACTTGTTCATATGCTCTTTCAGAATATTTGGATCCGAAACTGTATGAAGATCATGATATGAAGAAAAATCTTTGCTTTTATTAGTCTCCAAATCAGAAACCGACACCTTCACATTCGGCTTTGAAACCTGTTCCTTGGAGCTGGGTGGTCGATTAAGACATGCTGGATAAGCCTCCTTGGGAGGAGAGGACATGATATGATCACTCCAGACAATATCCAGCTGAGACTCATCAAAACTGTCGGGAATGATGGATTTAATATCTGGATCTCTAAAATCAGTATCAGAATCTGGAGAAACATTGTGCGAGTGTTCATCATCTACATTGCAAACTTTCATGGACAAAGGCACAGCTGCAAATTTTTAAAAGAAATTATGGTAAGGAAGGTGATAATAGAGTATTTCAAGAATCTCAGGACATATTTTTGTACTACATAAGAAGGAAAAATATAGTATATTCCTTCAAAAAGAAACTTATAATTCAGGCACCTTGTGGGTTAAGTATGAGACGTACTGGAACATCATCACTTTGGCTCCCTTTTCTTCTCTCTGGAAGACTTAACCTGGAAATATTATTTTTCTTCTGCTTTCTGTTTGAGGCCTTCTCGAGAAGAGGAACTGCTTGAGGAAGTAGCAGAGTGATCATTGACTTAGCGATGTCCTGATCAGCTGATTCCGAATCACTACTTTTCGAAGACAAATTCAAACCTAATTCAGCTACAAGTCCTTCACTAACAATCATGTTCTCAGTAGTTAATTCTTCCTTCACCTGGAAACTTTTAAGATCTTCCACATTGGGGGCCGAACTTACGGCAATATCTGCATGGAGTGGGCATGAAAAAACCATAAGAGATGTAGCCAAAGAGAATGACCTTTTTTTCTTTGGTGAAAGGCAAATCGAAAACTAGAAGCAAACATTAATTACGTGCATAAAAATGAAGAAGTAAATACCTTGAAGAAAATCCAAGGTATCGGGTGCACAAAGATTGACATCAGTCATATTTTGACTCTCTTTCAAAACTGACTCATCACCTGGTCTATCTTCTGTGGCCAGTTTGGAAACAGCCATTACATCGTCAGTATCTTGCAACCTATGAAGCTGCAAAAAGTTAAGATTCTTCTTGTTTAAAACTATTTTCCTGTAAAGCAACATATACCACCCTGCTAAAATTTAATGGGTTACCTCTTCACAGAAGTTCGATACTGGCTTTGATTTACATCTGTCAGGAAGTTCATCTATTTCTTGAAGAGGTACTACAACTTTCACATGAGGGGGGGTTTCTATTGATATACATGGATCTTCTATAGGAGCACAATCCAAATGCAACCTTTCTGGTGGTATTTCTATTCCTCGAAGTCCAAATCTGTCTGTTTCTCCTTTGATTGAACAGGATGGCATAGGCACTGAATTTGTAATCTCGCCATCAGATAACAAGTCTCTGGGTCTTGGCCTTTTATGGTTATTTCCACCTAATGACTTTTGGCATGCTATTTCAGATCTTCTGCTTCTTTTCTTCCTAGGCACTGATTTGTCCAAGTAAGGTAAGAAACTGGGATATGCATACGTGACTGGATTTTCGTCATCATCCAGGATTTTAGAGGCCCCATTGCTGGAGCTAGGAACTAAGAAGCGATTTTCTCTTGCTCCAAAGGTGTTTCCCACAAGTTCCCTTAGCAACCTCTGGACCAACGGGTTTTTGAAACCAAAAAACTGCAGCACAAAATTTGATGAGAATGAAATTGACCTTGTACAGTAATAATAATTAGGTATCATGAGATTCTCATATGCATTAATTAATTCAGCACTCGAAGTATAGGAAAGTAAGCCTATCATAACTTTGAGGCTGTTAAAGCTTGCATAACCCCCCTCATCGGGAAGAGAAAAGGGATGGTCCTAACAATGTATAGAAACCCAAAAATTGAACATCGTAAAAGTATCGTCCCAATCTGTTCCCAGTAGAAGAATAGAATTAGATCCCTGGTGTTGTATAACCACAATGATCCAGTCAACAGGTAATTTTCATGAAAAGCTTCAACCTTCAATAATATGCTGAAGCCTGAAGTTTCGGGGAAAACGCAGTGAAGCAAGTTTGAATGTTTGATATTAAAACACCTGTTGTCTGATATTAAAACGTTGATTGCAAGTTTGATATTAAAACACCAATCTCATACACAGACGTATAGTAAAAAATGTAACCTGTTTGATGGTCTACAAATTTATTTTGGAGGAGATGAATGATGCTCTGCATTTGAAACAATAAGAAACTGGAATGTACCTCCACGCCATCCATCTTGCATGTAAATCTTTTTCCATGCCATACTTTTAGGTGGGAGAAACCTGTCTTCTGGAACTTTCCCCATGCGATATCCGGAGTCTGCCCAAACCATGATTCAGTGGAATGTCTAATCTGCACCAATATAGTAAGATCCCTGCTTTACTAACCATTCAACAAAAGATGTGCACAACTATAAAAATCATAGTAAACAGAAGGTTCACCAGAAATACAGGCCCCTTTGGACCTTCTTGAATCTCCATCTTATATGTGTTCCCATTGTGAGTTCGGACAGCTTTATAGCCCACAGGATAAGGGTAACGATCTTTACCCTGAAAAATTTTTAAAAAAAATGAGAATAGCAATCAACAAGTGTTCTCCATGAACTAAGAGCATCCAGACTATCTTCTTTAATCACACTAACAAACGTTCAGAAAATTAGATAATTGTTAATTCCACTGCATCCAAGACAAATTATAGTGAAATAATTAACCTCCCTCCACCAGAAAATCATTTTTTTCTCTGCGAAGCAAAGCTCATAAAGGGCCTTTAATGGTTATAGTACCTATAATACCCACAATTTCTTTACAACCCAGGAAACGACCAACTACAGACATGAAATTTACAAGCATAATTGTTCAAAAATCAAGAACCATTGTTCAAATTCCTGTCATTTATTCGTTCACGATCTTCCATATAGCAAGTGAGAAACCATGCCGAATTCCAAAATCACCCCCAAGAATTGAATTTTCTAAATGCACCGCAATCGATTAATGCGAAACATCTTTCACAGCTTAGAGAAGAAAGAGAGGAAAAGAAAAGAAGATAGCAAACCCTAGACGAACTCCAGTACTTCTTGTCCCATGAGCCGGTGTATACAGCTCCGATCGATATGATTTCAAGGTCATCAGACCTCCATTCTTCACAACCAGCTCCCTTTTTCGCCATTGATATGCGAGATTTCAGCTGAAAAGAAGCTCAGTCGCCAATCGCAACGACGATGTAAACAATTCGAGATAATGGCACAGAGAGGGTTTGTGTTATCGAGCCGCGGGAAAAAAGTGGTTCCCTCCATAAATATGAAAAATCGAAGGCCGATATTTCACAATAAGTGGGCCTTTAAGGCCCATATAACTAATGGCTTTACCGGAAGGCCCATAGTATTATGATTTTTGGATTGTTCATTGATGGGCTTATGGCCATGGTCCATATACCAATCAAATAGACATACATGAATCCAAAAAAAGAGATGGTGAGAATAGTTAGCGGTGGGCGTTTCGGGAAACGGTTCGGGTTCGGGATGGAATAGATCAGTTCGGTTCTTTCGGTTTTACAAAAATAGGTATCAATCGGGTTTTTTATTGTATTCGGTTCGGTTCGGTTTCGGTATCGGTTCGGTTCGGTTCCGGATTTTATTAAAAAAAATGTTAGATTTCCTTTAAAAATATTCGGTTTTTCGGGATTTTTAAAGTTCGGTTCGGTTCGGTTCGGTTCCGGAAAAATTCGGTTCTCTAAAAATGGTACCGTTCGGAAAATAACAACGGTTTCGGGTCGGGAAAAATACCGTTTTAACGGTTCGGTTCGGTCCGGTTCCGAAGAACCGAACCGAAACGCCCAGCCCTAAAAATAGTTGTACAATTTTTTTCTTTTTAACGAACTTATCGAATTTTTATCCAACTATACCTTCTAAAATATCAGAAAATCCAGATGAATATCACTATCCAATGGAAAGTCAAATCTAAATTGAAAATAAGTTTTACCCTATCACTTACGAGTTGAATTATTTATAGAATATTTATATGAAAAATCCTGTATGATTTAATTCACTTTTTGATCTGCATCTATTTGATAACATATTTTAAAAAATTGAATTATTTGGCATTTAAAAAATGACGATTTTGAAACGGATCCAATTTGATACTTGTGCCAAAAAATCTTGCCCAAAATAGGGGGAAAACAAAACTAATATCCAGTAAATCATGATATGTAAAAAATATAAAATTAAAATGAAATGGTCCAAGAAAGTTATCCTATGCTAACGTTTAAGATACTTGAAAATTTGGACAATATGATTTAAAATATAAAATTCAAATGAAATAAGGGGTTGTGTTTTTACGCCACTATTGATACATCTATTATTGACAAAAAATAATTATGAAAAATAAAACGATTATATGGTTAATGATGTGAAAATGTTCATAAGTAAAATTACCAATAAAAAAGGTACTGATTGCATTTATATGTAATTCATATATTTTTATTATACCATTTTAATTTTATCGAACATCACAAATTAGTAATATTTACATTATAATTTCCAAACATAGAAAAAGAAATATAAAACAAAAGAAAAGGCGAACAAATCCGTCAAGGAAACAGGACCGAACCACATGTGACGATGTGAAGGTTCTTTCGAGGGTAATACCGTAATAGTACGTATACTCTCCAATCTCCATTGACCCTCGAGGGAAATCTTGTCATTACGTTTATTATCACAAATTTTATGTTTTCCATACTACAAAACAGTATTTTTTTAAATGACTATAAAATTTGTAACTTTTTTTTTGCCCCCAATATATATATGTATACATGTGTGTGTGTGAGGTTATGAATGGTGACATTTATCTATCTATGAAAGTAGAGAGATGCCTAGAGGAGGGTAAAGGCGAAACTTATACGAGCATGGAAGCCTGATCCCTTCCCTCTCCTCATTCTAGCTTTCTTTCCATTTCGAGGCTATCGTCCCATCCACTCTCATACTTTATTTTATAATTTTATTTCTCTGTAATATTTCATCAGATTTAATAATTAATAATTAATAAGATGTGAGTGTGCTTAATTAGTAACTAAAAAAGTTAGTGGACGAAAGGGACGTGAGAGAACATTCACTTGTCACGTTCCTATTTCCATGAATGGCAGTGCACCCACAAAAGATGGAAGCCATGGGACAGGTCCTCTTTTCTTCGTATTATATACACTCTTCTTTCAAAACATTATTTTATTTTATTTATTTGGACTCACTAAACTATTTTTTAATAATACTATAAAGTCCGAATATATATACCTTATATTATGCATATGTAGCCATGATATATAATGTACATTTGGTTCCATTTACACCCACACCACACCCCATATATATATATATATATTGTGTGTATATATGAAGAAAAGTTTCATTGATCGTCCATAGATTATCATTGATCGTCCTTCGTCTTTTGCATGGTTACATCATTCGTATTCTGCGATAATTTTGTTTCGTACAATATTGTTATATTTATATAATGTATATATAGTTGAGATTTATTTATGCTGGATGTAGAAAGTAAATGACTGGGGAATTAACATATACATGTCCATGCACGTGTATATATATACACACACATATATATCCCTCTTGGTTTATATTCATAATGTATTTTATATATCCATCTCTGGAGGCATTACACGACACATATAAATTAGAACAAGAAATGATTAGTGAAATCTCTAACGCACGAATAATTCCGTACCAAATTAATAATTAATTATTGATATGCAAAAAAAAATATATAAGGGGTATTTAGGATCTTCTTTATCTTTTTCCGAAACGCAATAAATAGGGGTGGACGTTTCGGTTCCGAAGAACCGAACCGGACCGAACCTAAAAAACGGTACTTTTTCCGACCCGAAACTATTCCCGAACAGTATTATTTTTAGAGAACCGAATTTTTCTGGAATCGAACCGAACCGAATCGAACTTTAAAAAATTCCGAAAAAAACGAACCGAAACGAACACAATATAAAAACTGATTGGTACCTATTTTGTAAAATCGAAAAAACCGAACCGATCCATTCCCGATGTCCCGAACCCGAACCGTTTTCCGAAACGTCCACCCCTAGCAATAAATTCGCCATGCACAATTCGCAGAGTGAGGTTGTACTATCTCAACCAGCACTAGATAATAAAACCCTAGATCTGCCCCTTCGATCTTCAAATTAAATTACACGTACAGACCAGAACCCTTTTTTTTTTAATGTCTTTTTCATCAGCCGACACAAAAAAAATCCTAATTTTCACAAAACATTTTTGGATAAAATTTGAAGTTAAGCTTCTCTCATGTACACATACATGCATACATCTATATATATATGTTGTCCTCTATATATATGTAATGCTTTCAACGAAAGGATTAACCATAAAACCCTAATCTCTCTCTATCTCTCTCTCTCTCTCTCATTATAAAAGAATCAAGAAGAGGAACCATCCATGGCTTCGCGGGTCTCACATCCTCCCGACCATCTTTTCTACGCACGCTGCGACTATCTGCAACACCATTCTCGCGGTAACACCTCTATGTATACGGCGACATGAATAATACACACGCATATATATACACACACACACACGCATATATACTAAACCATAATATACAGAATCGAAGATGTATAACCATGATTATACTCCGTCAAGAGAGGAGAAGTCACCTGATCTAAGCTCGTACATATAATTTAAACAACGGGATTCCCTGCATGCATATGTTGTCTAGCTATTCAATGAAATGACACTGTTACGATCGAATTTATACATACATGATTTCAATGTTGGTTATTTTTCATATGGTGTATATGGTGCGTATATATATATATATATAGGTGGAGATACCTTTCAGGAGAACGCTCGAAACTGCGACGGTGAAATGCGGACATTGTGGCAATCTCTCTTTCCTCACCACAAGACCTCCTCAAGGCCCGAATCTTGATCGCCACCTCAGCCTCACTCTTCAGGTGCACATACATACATACATACATACATACATACATACATACATACATACATACATACATATGTACGTGTACATATACACGTATAGTTTTTCTTTTGCGTACCTAAAAAGCACGTGCTTTTCCTTTCAAACAATTACTCTCTAAACCTAGAGAGGTTAATTAAATGTTCACAAACACGTGTTAAATACGCGTGCGTCGGTGTTCTTTGATTGTATTAATTTACAATTAATTAGCAAGGGAAATATATATATATATATATATATATATATATATATATATATATATATATAATGAGTTAAGGGTTAAAGCAGATGCAGAGCTTCTGTGACACCAAGGAATTCAACAAGGGAAGTTCTTCTTCATCATCATCCTCCTCGTCCACTTCGAGCGATCAAGCACTGTCTCCTTTAACACCTTTCGTGGCTAAACGTAAGAAAACTAAATCACATAACAATATGCTTAAACGTACATTTATATGTATATGCATATGCGTGTGTGTGAATATATATATAGATATATATATATAAACGCCTTTTTTTTAACGAATTTTGGTACTGCAGCGCCTGAAAAGAAACAGAGGCTCCCATCGGCTTACAATCGGTTCATGAGGTAATAATAATACCATACATCCGATTTTAATATTTACGTTTTTATAAATTAACAAAGTTTCGTTTGTAAAATACCCATATATATATATATACACACATACACACACACGGAAAGGGATGAGATTCAACGTATCAAAGCTGCCAACCCGGAAATCCCACATCGCGAAGCTTTCAGCGCCGCTGCCAAAAACGTAAGACAACCTTAAGCCAATAATAATAATAATAATAATAATAATAATAATAATAATAATAATAATAATAATAATAATAACAATAATAATAGTCCAAACCCCTATCATAAAATGCATCACAAATTTTACATAATATCGGCCTAACACGGTCATATATACATAGTAATTTGAATTTCGGCATGGTGTTTTCGTCTATTAACATGTATTTATTCTTGGATTATCGCTTGCTAACGCAAAACAAAATGAAAATCGACACGTGCAGTGGGCTAAGTACATTCCGAACTCACCTACTTCCCTCACTTCCGGAGGCAAAACCATCCACGTAAGCATCTGCATGTCTATTTATGTCGTCGTATCATATAATGGCCATACATAAATAAAATAAAATAAACATTTAATTAGGGCTTGGGCTTTGGAGAAATGAAGTGAAGTCCACAGGAATATGCAGTCACTAATTAACGCACGTGCGGAAAAACCGGTGCCTTTGCCTTATGTGCGGCATTTTCTTCCCGTCTGTCTTTCTATCGTTGTCCCCTCTCTGTAACTCTTTTATTCAGAGTTTTAAGGCTATACATACATACATATATATATATATATATATATATATATGTGTGTGTGTGTGTGTGTACGTGTCGTGTTTCTTCGAAAGTTTGTGTCGGGAGTATATAATTTAATGTTGCATATTTGGACCGTTGTATCGTAATTAATCTTCTATCTACAAGACTACAAGTCTTTTTTTTTTTCTTCCCTGAAATAAGTTACGTGCATGTGCATGCAGACAAATTCATCTATTTGCCTCCTTGTCTGGAAATTTGCGTCATCTCTATCACATTCTTCTCCGATAAATATTATAAAATCTCGCAGCTTTCACATATCTGTATATTTGTAGGACCAGATGCCGGAATTCTCGTATTTTCATACTTATACATGCATATACTTATGTATATACACACACATACTTATCGTATACCCTGTATATTTATACGACACAGAATATGAAGCACAAGACACAAGTATGATTAAACCTAGTCAAATCCAATACATAGGGATGACGATCATATTTAGATTCAGTTATTTCGATTATACAAAAACTATAACCGTTCTATTTTTATATCAATTTCAATTTGATTTTGTTTCAGTTTTTTTTTTATCGGTAGAAACTCATTTTTTTAAAAAAAATCGATTTTTTCGATTATTTTTTTATTCCATTCTGTTTAAATTCGGTTTTCAAGTTTCAAGAAGATATAATCGTTCACTTTTTATGTCGGATTCAAGTTTCAAGAAGATATAATCGTTCACTTTTTATGTCGGATTCAGTTCGGTTATGATTATATCTTATTTTGTTCGGTTTGATTATTCGGTTAATAACTAAAAAAAATCGTTATAAAAAGACTAGCTAAACGGCTGCAACTCTACAACTGAAACAGGGCCATCTTCTGCACCATGATCCGGTGTCTGGAACGGACAATACGAATACAAATTCTTGCTTCGCATTCTAACCCACTAACCTTACGATGGATCATAAAAACCCAGATGCGGAAAACCATCAAAGGCACAAACTTTGATCCGACAAGATCCAACCCCAGACTCAAGGGACAAGAATGAAGAATCTGGCTTATTAGAGGCCAAGAAAATAGGGTAGACCTTCATATCCATGGCGGTTCGCCTGATTGGAGCTCCTCTGTTGCTCCACTCTTTGAAGGTGGGACGATAGCTGGAGAAGATCCACGGTAGATGAACCTGTTCCAAGAGATAAACAAGACCCGTGGCCCGATCCAGACAAGAACTGACCGTTCTTGCCCAAGTTTACGACCAAAGATTGCATCTGATCGTTCTGTGTCGATTCCGCTCTGGCTGTATGAACTCCTATACCATTTCTCAGACCCTTGTCTCCATTGGCTTGAGCGAAGGAGAAGCTTGAGCTCAGAGTTCCTGAAAAGTGTTGCGATGATTGAGCTGACAGAAGAGAGAGAGCACAACTAGAGCCCGACACCTTTTGCAACTCCCAGTCAGAAGCCGATGCAACAGTAGTAACTTCAGACAAAGGTATACTGTCCTGTCCATTGGAAGGGTGGATTGAAGTTTGAGGACTATTCGCATATCCGTCTTCGAATTTCACATGCCTACCCACACGGTGGGTTTGCAAATCCATCACTCTGTATACGAGACCCCCGGGAAATGTCTCGGGCAAATCCAAAGACAGGTGCTTTGCCATTGAAGTTTGAAGAAATTTGGTCCCTGTTACAACCATTCATATGTGTAAGTGTATTCCATAGGGGAAAGATCATCAAATGACAAACTGGTGAAGAGAGTCTGTATTATTATACCTTTAGATGGACGATAAACTACATGGCCTTTACCCGGGACCAAATAGACCGAAGGCTTCCTTCTACGTTCATTATGACCAAGCAAACGTCTACGACAACTTCTCTTTCTTTCGTCAAATTCAGTAAGCTTATGAAACCTGACAAAAGAAAAGCAGGAGTGAACAATCTCGATACATCCAACACTCGAGACAGTATATATATAAACACGAAACCTGCTGCATTGTTGACAAAATCTCTGCTCCATTCCATCAACTACAACCACGGGAAACTTCGAATGAGCCTCACAAACTCGGTGCCGTCTGTGGTATTCTTTAGAAGAGCTCAGGTCCATGTTACAGCCAAACACTTGACACAACGGTCGCTGCAAACACGAACTTGCTGCTCGAGGTTTCTTAGCTGGAGACGCAGAAGAAGCTATAACCAATGCATCATTCCCAAACACGTCATTCGACGGATTCTTGTGTTCCCTATGACTCCTTAGTGTTAAATCTATCCCAGAGCAGTCCTGACTAGAGAAACTAGGAAACTTCGAACAGGAATAGCTCTCCTCGGACAACAAATTCGAAGCTAGCAGAGAAGAAGCAGCTATCTTTCTAGTGGAATCACCACTGAAGTCAATGGATTTACCATGAAACTGCTTCGGAGCCATGTCGGAAAAGCCTCTATCAGAGAATTCCGACACGAACATACCGTTTGCCATAAAACTCGAGAGTTTCTGGTTCAATTCAGGAGTGAATTTCCTCATCCTAGCGCTTGAATCAGTAGACAGGTCGAATTCATTTGCAAAGAGAGCACCTTTCCCATCAGGCGAGCAGTTCCAAGTGTCCATGAGCGAAGACAGAGACTGAAACTGAGAACAACTGTTACATAAGTCGATCGAGGACATGTGAAGTCAGTACTCAGTGAAAGAGGCAAAATCGAGAGACATATTCCAACCAACCTCTGTTTCCTTGTCGAGGACAAGAAAACACAATCGAATCAATCATTTCGATACGTGATTCAAAGTTCCAGACTTTTGTTACACTACTCAATTTCTATTTTCCCAGGAAAAAAACCCGACAAGAAAAGGCGAGAAAATACAAAACCCTAACCATGAAATCAACAAAATTAAAGAATTCTCTTCGAAATCTGAGACCCGGAAGCTAAAATTATCAAACAACAACCTCGGAGAAGAAACCCATCTCGCTGGTGAGAGATTAGAGAGAGAGAGAAAAACTCAGTCCAACCCCACAAATTTTCGATCTTTCAAAAACCCACCTCCCAAAACCCCGGAAAAATTGCAACTTGGAGATTAAACAGAAATCCCAGATCAAAAAGAGCCAACGAGAAATTTAAAAGAAAAAAATTGAAGAGGAAGAATCTAATTGCTTACCCGATAACAGGAACAGAGACCTCTGTAGAACGAGGAACAGGGAAAGGAAAGGACTTTAACAATAGTAAAATAATCTTCGAAGTCTTAGGAACCATGGTGTAGGTGGTGACGTATAGACAGATACACTGTTGAGTCAACATGATTTCCACCATAGCCATGTCCACATCTTTTTGTTGCTTTTTAAAAAAAAAAATAAATTATTTACGACATGTTTTAGTAAAACTTTTTTTTTTCCAAGTCCCAATCTTTTGTCCTTTAGTTAATCATCCTAATTTTTCATTTGTGATTTACTACCTTTTTTTTGCTATTTTATATTAAACACCTTGATGTCTCCCACTTCATCTAATAAATTATTAAATTATTCAAATTAAGCATATATAACAAGCAAAAAAATCTATATTTATTTCACATTATCATATATCAAAATATCTTACTATCTGGATATTCAAAATAATTAGTGCTTAAACACATGATTAAAATGGCTAGAACTAAAAAAAACATATTAAAGACACTTTGTGTCAAAACCAGGTCAGTTTCACCTTTTTTATATGGAATCTGTTTGATTTGAATTCTATTTACATTCTAATTTTTATATTGTTAATTATATTCTGCTTACATTTAACTGAGGTAATAACTAAACTTTTTGGATTAGGTTTGTATAAAAAAAGGCGTTTAAAATTAATTATTCCTTTTGTTGGTAACCTTTGTATTGGAAAAGGTAGCAATTCAAGATCCAAGCAGTAGGACGTTTGAGGCTTTATACCAACTTGTGAATAATTTATTTCGGTATATTATTATAAAAGCTTATACAGTTCATCTTCTGCATACATATGTGTATATATATATATGTATCATTTTTTTTTATAATCCAAAGGTATATTATATAAATGGCACGACTTTTAGTTACTATTATTTATGTTTATAACAAAGTTTTGTCCCTTGGAATTCAGATGTCAAGTTGTGATTTTTGTATTCAAGCAAGGGGGATGCTTGGGGCTTTTTTGGTAGAATAAGAATATAGCGGGGCAAATTAGGGATAAAAAAATGAACAGAACAATTGCTAAGAAGACCCTAATATTTTATAATCTTACTAAATGATACCTGGGAATATTTTGTGACAAAAAGCAACCCAACATACCAAAGTGACAAAAATAGTACCTGATACCAGGGTACAATCAGTCAACGCCTCGTAAAACTAAAGTTATTTAATTCAACAAACATAATACATTGCTATATATATAAAAAAAACCCTTGGAAATCATTAAATAGGCTTGGTTATATCCAATGCTACAATCTAAATTTCAAATATTTGGTCATTGAATAATATATATATATATATGATAATTTTAACAAAAGTAAAGTATTTGGTTTGTTGATTTGAGTGGTTGATTTTTCTAATTGGGTTCCATTTGTAGTAAGAGACCAAAACATGCATGTTTGGTGTAATTAGGGTAAAATCTACATCCAAATTTGGATACATTTTGATCAATTTTTTTAATTAAAAAAACGTACCCTTGTGTGATTTTAGTGTTTTTTTTATTCTTATAATCGTGGGATCCAAAGCAAGATACTAAAGCATGGATGTTTGGTGTAATTTGGGGGTAATGGTACACGTAGGGAATAATAAGGGTGAGATTCCGTGAGAAAAGGAAAAGTTAGGGGTACGCTTTGGAATGATTCGGATGAAGAAAATTGAGTGGTGGTGGTGGTGGACATCGTTTTTTCCTGAGGTGCCCCAACTTTATTGCTTTATTGCAAAATCGTCCCTTTTATTTTAATTGGGGGTTGGGAGTGGGCGGCAGCAGAGCACAAATGCCATGACGTGGCAAACCAACCAACCACTCTCTCTTTTCAGGTGAAAAGGGGAATCTTATTTCCAATCCCTCTTCCCCTTTTGGCTTTCTTCCCCTTAAAATTCAATTTTTTAAAAATTACAAAAAAAAATAGCATGACCTTTTTTAAAAAAAAAAAGAAGTTGTTTTTGACATGAGGTTGAGATTTATTCATTAATTTATTATTTTTCTTCACTCAAATCCTATAAAAATATCCAAATTTTATAAAATATATCAAAAAAATAAATAAACTTTTAAGTTAGACAAATAAATACACCAGATATTGAAATATATCCCGAAAAAATATCTAAACTCTTAAAATTGAAAAAAACGTTTTATATATAGTCTATTCAAATTATTTCATATACAAATTTTAACAACATTTGATAGTTTTTATTTAAAAGTAATTTTATATTCGAATCTTAAATCAATATATAGAAAATTGTTTTCAATTTCAAAAATTGATATATATTTTTTTGATATGTTTGACATATTTATTTATCAAATTAAAAAATTTTATATTTTGAGAGTTCAGATTAGATTGACAAATTCTATCATCTATTATAATGGGCCTATATCGAACCCAATATATATATAATGGGGTAATTTCTCTTTATTTCAATGTTCTTTTTATCATGCCATCCGATTTTTACATAATTATCCACGCCTTTTAATAACCGCATGTTTGGACCCTCCACCCACTAAGTTAGAAGAGAATCCCCTTTGTGTGTTTTTTTTTATTTTATATTATACTAATTATTTTTTTGCTTATATATATATATATATGTCATTGTTTTGTGGTGACATCAATTTCTTCGAATATGCTTACCCGACAGTCAAAAGAACACAAAAAATAAAAATAAAAAATCAAAGGGAAAAAAGTAAATGTGATGATAATTGATTCCACATTTGATTTTTATGTTTCTTGAAAACGTATTTCATGTACTATAACACTATTAATTAATTAACAAACACATATTCATATCATATCATATAATAACTATAATGATCTCTCAAACATCGTATATATTTTTTCTTCTTATTTTGATCCGGTTTTAATGACATGGGGACAATGATCCAATCTTATTATGCCATAATTGAACGCTTTATCATTATATATATATATATATATTCTTGATTTATAAAAATATCCTAACAATCTAATTTAATCGGTTTCCTCTAATTGAGAAATATTTTTTTATTGAATTTAGCTAGATTAATTTTGATCATTAAATTGTAAATATGTATTCCAACATCAGTATATATATATATATATATGAGATGTTATTGTAAATATGGGTAAAAAGGCTATTAAGCTCGAGCCTAATGTCATATATATATATATATAGTAATGATATGCGAAAATTGGGAAAGCTAAGCGTAATCTATGCATTGCAAAAGTTGGATATCTCTTTTGTCCCCAATTAATATATGAATACATTTGCACGTCGTTTAAGGTTAAATCAATCTCAAGCAAAAAAATAATAATCATGCATATTATTTTATATTTCGAACGGATGATTTATCTCTAATTATTTCATTCTTATATCAACTGGGTTTTCCTATTGAAGCTTATGATACACAACTCGTGACAAGACAAATAATAATAATAATAATAATAATAATAATAATAATAATAATAATAATAATAATAATAATAATAATAATAATAATAAGCAAATTGATTGCAATTCAATATAACGTGCATGTACTATATCATGCGTGCTGGTCCACGACAATTCTCGCTTTGTCTTCTTGGGATGTTAATTCTATAATATATATATATATATATATATGTGTGTGTAAATGGATGGAGTATAATACCATTCTAATTCATTAATAATAAATCCCTAATCCTTAATGTTGACGACGAGACAAAGAAGGGAAAATCTTTATGGATTTATCAACACTACCCCTCAAATCTCATTAAAACAAATTGGACCAAATCCCATATTATATCTATTATAGATATATAACACATATATAGATACATTTTTTTTTATAATTCGCAATTAAACGTGATTTTTTGATCATTGAATCTATTATCGATTCGATCAATGATCAAACGGGTCTTGCATGTGCACTCTTCTTGATGGCGTCAACATTCGTAGTCTCGTAAACCGGTAATCCCCCACAGGACAGATCATAGTTCTGCAACTCGAACAGGTCGGAACTTGAATCGCTTTCGGTTCCATCATCCTCCACGGCGGCAGCGGTTTCGACGTTTGTCTTTCTTCGATCATCTTCTTCAGACCAAACCCTCTGTCCCTCGGAGAGGTTCTCGATCAGCTTGAGCCTATCGTCCAGCCAAGTCAAGTCCTTGTTCTTGTCCGTTTCCACAATGTTCGAGTACTGTCCGTAGTTCTTTGTTGGTGTGTCTAAACAAGGAGGAGGAGTTCTGATTCTAAAACCCGAGCTCGAAGACGAAAACGGAGATTTCGCCGAAGAATTTGTGGTCGCCGAATCTGTTTTCGAGGATCTATTTGAGATCATGATCAAGAAACGGCTGATGCTGCTTCTTCTTCTTCTCCTACAACCTCCAGGGCTCTCCTCTTCATCCGGAGCCTGAGATCCTGTCGTTGACTTTGACTTTGACTTCTCCTGATGGAAAAGAGAGTTCAAGAAGCTGGCGATCTTCCCGCCCGGCGAGCCAGGTTGCTTGTGTTTCACGTCACCAATCTTCTCCTTCACGGTGAAAACTTCATGTCTTTCATGAACATGATGATCTTTATGATGATGATGGATCGATTCCGATGATCTGATGGGCAAATCCAAGCTGATTCTTCCCCTAGCTAATCCCCATTTCCTGCGGTTCTCTTTTCTCGTGTAATCGTAGGTATCGTCGGTGGGTTCGTTATAGCCGGAAAAGTACCTCGCCGCCTTGAAAACATCTAGTTCTCGGTAACCATCGGGCTTGTGGGATGATCCCTTGAAGATATTATATGGGTCTGATGATGATGATGATGATGATGAGAGGCCTTTCATGGACATTGTCAATGGGGAATGGTTGACAAGTTGAACTTGGAGAGGAAATCTTTGCAGACAAAAAAAAACGGGTTTATGTTTTTTTTTTTCTAACGGGACATGATTGAGATCAATGGAGGGTGTTTGGTTTTTTTTATAACACCTGATATCATACTTCCACTTATGTCTTTCTATGTATTATGATGATCATCATCATTTGCATTAACGATCATTTATACATATATACATTTTATATGCTCATACCCCATATATTAATACGATCGTTTGATTTCGTGGGGCATATATATGAAAAATATAAAATAGACTGTTTTTCTTTTTTGAAATCTAATAGCTTTGTGTGTTAATATATGATATGGTGTGGGGGCATATGTCTATTGTGGCCTTGGATTCCTACTTTTGATTTTGCAATTTTTGTTCGTGGGTGCATATATATATATATATATATATATACACACACACTTTTTTTCTACGGTCGATTTTTTCTAGATTCTGAAATCGTGTGTGGTGTTGTCGGTGAAGATTGATGTAGGAGCCCACCACCATGCACATTCCACATTCATCTTTTGATGAAATGGCTTTCAAATCACTCCTTGATCACCTTATATATAGTCAAAATCCCATCATCTCCCATTTATTTGCTCTAATAACAATATATATATATATATATATATATATATATATATATAGAGAGAGAGAGAGAGAGAGAGGGGGTTGAGTTCAATTTGTGAAGATAGAGTGATGACCGGTTTGGTCTCTAAAGGATGTGAGCATATGGAATGGCATGATTAGCTCTAATTAGGCTTTTTGAAGCCCAATAAGGCTATCGTTTTAGGGCACATTTGGGCCCAAATTTGTGGCCCCACCGACACAAACCCTAAATTCTTATGCCCTTTGATTGTTTTTTTTGGCCTAACTTTTTTTCACAAAGATTTATTGGTCTTCTTGAAATCTTCGAATGGGTGTGGTTTATATTCAATATCAGATATAGATATTTTTTTTTATAGAATCCATAAAACGTAGACCATGGTCATATGGTAGAGAGAGAGAGAGAGAAAAAAAAAACTGAATTTCAAGATTCAATTGTGTAAAAAAAGGAAAGTTTTAATAAAAATAACTAAATTTTAATATTTATTTTAAATAAAATCATTCTCTAAATTTATAGAATACTAGATTTTTAAAATGTAAATTTGTAAAAAAAAGTCTACGGAATCATCGACATTCATGCGTATATATATCTTTCACTTGATCAAACTCACCTTTCTGTCTAACGATATCTTCATTAAAAGTACAAAGAAAATACCACAATGGATAGGATTCGTAGATTAACATCGTTTAAAAACTTTATTGTATTTGGAGAATTTCTAAAATTAATATTGGATAATACCGCAAAGGAAATTTTTAAATTTTCAATATTTTTTGTGAAAAGACCACCTTGCATTAGAACTAATCACAGTAAAGTTTTTTTTGTTATAAAGCAATTGTTCTTGACGCCAAAACCGCGCCTATTCTATCTATTAATCACAATAAAGTTATCATGAAATGACAATTTGTGCAACTTAGTCTTACGTGGATGGGGCTTAATATTGATGGCACAATAATAGATTTCGTGGAAGAAGATAAGATAAGCATGAATATTATATATATATATATATATATATGATCCATGATTCCATGTCGAAAATTGACATAGCAGCATATACTTTTCGTATTTTTCTTTACATGCATGTTTGAATTTTATTTTTATAAACTGTGTTAATTTCCATAACATAAAGAGCAAGTGACACATTGTGACTAATAAATTCGATTAAAAAAAAGGGTGGAAAATGGAAATTATATAAAAACAACTAAGAATTGGCCCATGCAGGTTTCGAACCTGCGACCTTCGCGTTATTAGCACGACGCTCTCTAACCAGCTGAGCTAATAGGCCATGATAGTAAAAAAAAAAAGTATAAATTATAAATTGATAAAGACTTCTAAAACAGTATACCAATACAATTAAAATAAAGAGAATAGTTTCTGAAATAAAATACATATACTAAATATATAAATGTCCTAATTAGAATATAGAGAAGGATCCTTGTGGATATGGTCGGACCTTATTACCTAGGATCGGTCTGATTCAGCCGTCACATACTCTTGTCTCCACTAATTTAATTGATTTGATTTAAAACAAAAAATAATCGATTAAAGCAATTGAAAAAAATCATTGTTTATCTTCAAGGCTATAAGATCGTTGAATTATTTCCACATAAATTTAAGATTGGTTTTTATTCATTTATTATGAATTTATGATATATGTTTTGGTAGAAAAAAGGTATATGTGTGTGTTTTACCTAGTTTGTTCTTTTGTTTCTGACATTAGTGTGTGAAGATTGAGTTATATATCTCTTGCAGATTTTATTTCATTAATAAAATTAATTTGAGTTTGATGAATATAGATTATAAATTATAAAAACGATACAAACGATGTATAAATAATAAGATAGAAAATTTCTGTGTTTCCAATGTTTTCTAGAAAATCTAAAAAATAACACCCAATTCTTTTCAATTTTGACAAAACAAAATTTGATTTTTTTAAAATAAAAGATACTATTTTTTTAAATCGACAAAAATAATATCTGAATTATTCGACGAGTATCAAATTAAACAACTGAGCTGACGTAATATACGAAAGTGTTGACGTGACAGACAAAAGTGCAAATGTCTTGTGAAACTGTTTTCACATCATATCAATATTTCCATACGCCACATCAACTCGATTGTTTAATTTGATATTCGTTGAATAGTTTAGTTATTATTTTGAACAATTTAAAAAGTTTAATATTTTTAAAAAAAAAATCGGTTTTTTTGTCAAAATTGAAAGGTTAGTGTTTTTTTTTTGGATTTTTCCATATTTTTTTTATTTCATTTCGTATATGTATATTGTATAGGGTGATCAAGATATCCCTAATGACTTATCAAATTAGTATTTAGTTTTTCTTTAATTATCAAATCAAGACAGAAAATTCATGTGCTTTCAATATGTGATTTGTAACTCAAACTATACTCTCATAGGAACTTTGGTTACCTTTGATTTTTTTCAATACTATGTTTTCACGATATTAAAACATTTGTATTATATATATATATATATATATATATATATATATATATATATATCAATTATCATGGACTGGATTACTAGATTCAGATTATTTTGTTGGATCATAATATTTTTCAATGTTTCCAACCCATTAATACACACACACACACACATTATACCATGTTCCCTCACGAATACGGTACACACACAACGGCATCAACACACA